TTTTGTACCAAAGATAAATATTATATTAAGTAAACATATGCCTACAGACATGTTGGTGCCCACGTTGTACCATATTACAAACTAAGTCATTACTAGCAATAGTTATATTATTTGTAGTATCCCTAATGGATCTATTACTACAACAGCAAAAGAAGTTTGAGATTATGTGGTAGTTGCTCCTTCCATGCACCGTAGGTCGTTGATCTAGCAAAGCCCATGCAGTCAGTGGTAGTGAGCATTAGGGCTGCTTATCGGGCGGATTGGGCGGCTTTTTACTCTTAACGGTTTGGCTTAACGGTTATCGGCTTTTAAATGTATTAATCCGTTAGCCACCCGATATGATATCGGGCGGATTGGTATCGGTTTAGCTCTTATCGGACGGTTATCGGGCGATTTATCGGCCTAACATACATATTCACTAAATATCTCCCATTCTCCTCGTCTTAGAAATAATGAATTTCCATGAAAAAGATATTTCAGAGGCAATATGATGCATTCAATTTGCTTTGCCGGAGTCACTCAAGTTCAGCTTAGCCAAATTTTGCTATAAGCCCCACTACTTACTGCATATCGAACTTCAGTTGATATGCAGTAAGTATTAATAGTTGATCCTCTTTTGGTTTAAATTTCTCTATTATTCCCTTCTTATGTTTTGAGCATGGCTACTTGATACTTAAATTCATGCGTTATGTTACGCGGCGCCTTCCTGAGATTCCTTGGAAGGGCGACGTAAGGCTAGGAAACTGATGTCAGTGCAGTTACTGTCCGCCAACTGAGGTCCCCTCCGTACGCTAGACGAGATTGTCAGTGCCGTACGGGAAAACCAATGTCAAGAGCAATTGAGAGAATAGAAATGAGAATTCAGAATGAAAGAAAGCTTGATTGCATTAATGAAAGCTATTACAGAAAAGCAACGCGGTGTCGAGGGGGAGAGACGCCAGTACAGAGAATTGCTTGCTTGCTAGAAAGTTTTGATTGCTTGATTCCCCCTAATAGTACTTAAAAAAAATAATCCAAAGTTACAAGACTAGACTTGACTAAGCTAGAGAAACATAATGGAAGTACATGAAATAAAACTACTCTATATTTACAATGAAAATGACTTAGTTTTCTATAAGGCAGCAGCAGGTCCGTTGTCAGCAGCAGTGTCTTTGGCATCACGGTCTGCGCGCGCGGCGCTGTTGGCTTCTGCCTGCGGCTTGGCGCTCGCGAGGGATATCGGTGGGGTGACAGAGGCACCTGCGCGCTTGTCACTTGGCGCGGCCAAGACCACGGGGCCGTCCGTGGCACTAGGCATTAGGAGGTTTGCTAGGACGCCACGGGGCGCGCCCAAGGGATCATGGGGCATGGCTGGAAAGCCGCCCATGACAGTCTATATGTTGTCTGACAGTCTATATGTTGTCTGTCACATAATAGGCTGAGACAGATCCAAGGTTTGAAGTTTAGAAATTTTTATAATGATCTTAAGTTAATATACTACAATAAATTAATAAATTGACTAAGTTCCGAACTAAATATTCTTGCACTTTTTGGTAAATTTCTTAATACAAATATAAAATTTTTAGTCAAAAATTATAAATTCACGTAAACTCATAACTAATATAGACCTGCCCCTGATAATAGAGTCGAGTCCCACCCCCACCTCCCACATAGATGGGACTATATGAATTCGTCTGATTATTTTATGTGTGGTGCAGGAGTCTGACTATTTCATCAGATACTTAGGAGTCGTTTGGTACGCGGGATAAGGGATAAACTTTCGGGATTAGATACGGAATTATTTTATTCAGCATTTGGTTGAAATTTTGAATCCAGGATTAACAATCCCGTGATTAAATAATCACACAATTGGGTATTATTCTATTCTATGTTGAGGGCCAGATAATAATTTCGAGATTAATTAATCCTGGGATTAAACACTAAAATGATAAAGATACCCTTTTCCAAGACTCTTCCCGAAAGTCTTTTAAACAATCCAAGGTTAACATTGGAACTAAAAATTTATCCCAACTTATCTAGTATTCATCAAACACACGTTTATACTTTATATTATACCCTGTATTTTCTATTTTTAGTCAAATGAACCAAATATTTTCCAATAAATATATATTTACTAAATACTCTCATCATTTATTTAATTTTCGTATTATAATTCCGGAATAACTTGTCCCTTACCAAACAACCCCTTAATATTATTTATCGGTGTACATTAGTATCGTGTAGCTCCGTTCATCAAGATAGCCAGACTAAGAAAATCACCTATAGTATCTTTGTCTATGGTGGAAATTATTTTATCTCGCTAATAGTTACCACTAAATCGCACCCTTGAGTTTTTCCGTCAATTGTGTAATGATGTCCAGTAAGAATACTACAAGAATACTGCTCATGTCAGCCTGGAGTAATGGCAAGAAAAGCTTAAAAAAAAAAAACCAATAATAGCGAATGTAAGTATATTATTTTAATCCAAATTAGCCGTTTTTGTAACGATAAATTAATTTTTCTTCGCGTTTTGATTTTCCGTTTTATTTTACGTAAATAGCCATTTACGTAATGGCCGTTTTACGTGAACAGTCATAACAGACATTCTGAAGAGTTGGACCTCTTCCTTTAAACTCAATACGTCGGCTATAAATAGCAGACTATTCTCCTCAGATTTTCCTTACAAAAATTATGTTTTCTCCTTCTTCTTTCTGCATTGTTTTAATAGAAAAGAAAGCAGTAGGGTGTGATTTACTATTGGTCTTTGCGTTCGTTGTCACTGGGGTTTGAAGTACCGTTACACCAATGAGGTTATCCGTTCTATCCTGGGAGGAAATAATCCTAAACCTCGGATACTAGGAGGGGACTAAGTTCCTTAAGGAAACACTGTAAATTCAGTGGGTTCGGATTAATTCTGTTCTTCTGCGTTTTACATTATTTTTATTTTTGAATATATTTTCGAATACAGAATACTAACATGGACTCAATGTAGATCCCACATTGATCGTGATCATCATCAAAGTATGAAGCAGGTAATCATGGCCACTGATTAGTACTGATTTTGAAGCAGCTAATCATTGGTTAACAACCCAATTAGCACGCCATACATATAAAAAAAAAATTAGTTAATTAGGTAAAGGATAGAAAATTAGGAAGGGGTTTTCACCTCAATTACGTCAGGTTATCGTTAAGATGGTTTTAAGTAGGAAATTTCACTCCTGTAGCAAATTATTACACCCTATTTATTATAAACCAAAATAATTTCAAAATATTATTATTTATAACTATGTTTTCTATTTTATACAAAAATAGGTATTTATTTATACCCTACCATTAAGGCGTGAAATACGCCAGTTATGTTCTTTCTCTCTCCCTCTCTTCCTTCTCTCTCTATCAGCAAGATTCTCAATCCTCTCTCTTCCCCCTCAAATCTCTCTCCCTTTTCCATCAAGGCAGCCGTGGTAGCAGCCATTTTTTGTGGTGATGGTGGACTTTCTGAAGCAAAGAAAATATATTTGAAGCGAAGAAGGAGTAGGCAAACAGATCTGGCCATGACTACAGATTGAGTTTTTGGAAATCTGAAGCAGAGTCGCCGGAGAAGATCCGAGGGTCGGGTTTTGTTCATCTCCATTTTTTGTTTTAATACAATGTATACAATATTTTGCTTGGCCGAAAAACGCCATCTCCGACAAACTTTCTTCTCTTCTTTGCTATTGAGTCACATACAATGATACAAATATATTATATTTTGTATAAATACACTCAAATACATTGTATTTTTATATAAATATATTTTATTTTTGCCTGTATTTATGTATTTCGAAGGTCTGTATTTTTTGAATACAGCCCAATATCACTGTTTTTGTATTTTGTTGTTGTTGTTTGAATACAGTCAAACTGAATGCGGTGAATTGAAAACAATGTATAATAGTGAATAATGAATATCGGTGAATTGAATACAATGTATACATCTTATTTCTTGATTTTTTGTTGTTTGAATACAACTGAATTCAATATAGTGAAGGATACAATTCAATATTGCGCTTTCCGTTATTAAACACCCGTAACCACTATTTTTTAGGCGGATTATCTCACTGTATTTATAAATACATTCGTGCGAATACATGAAATACAGAATTAAACAGCTGTAATCTCTGTTTTTTAGGTGGATTACCTTACTGTATTTATAAATACAGTCGTGCGAATACATGGAATACAACACAACAGCAACAAAATTGATTTTGTTGAGTTAAATTAGGAGTGATACACGCTAATTGATCCTCCTTCTGTTATATAACAGCTGGACTACCTACTTATTAGACGAATTCAGCGACTGTATTCATGAATACAGTAGCGCGAATACAACGAATTTAATCCGGTAGCACCAAAATATTAGCTATAGTAAGTAAATATGTATATGGTAGCTATAGAAAATAAATATGTATATGATAGCCATAGGAAATTAATAGCCACTAAACTATAGTGATTTCTGAAAATTCCTCTTTTAAGTACACTTCGTTAGTGCAAAAGGCTTATAACTTTATAATCCTATGAGCAATAATCATTGACTTTTATCTTTGTCACTATTCAATTTATTTCTTCATATGTTAGATTGCAACCTTAAAATGAGTTAAATGACCACAAAATCTTATGTAGGAATGTATTGTTTTTGCAAAATAATACACAAGTAATTAAACACATCAAGTAAAAAGGGCAGCCCCACTAATTGTTGATGTATTGCAGATTGCAGATTCATATCCTATATAAGAGGCGAAGAAATTAGTACTTATATTACTGGAACTGAATTCTATCATCTTGGTCTGTGCAGAACGTACATGAAGATATTAATCACTTTAGGGATAACCTAGATATAGTTATTTCTCCTTTACTAGAAGGAATACAAATAGGTATAGTCACCATTTTAGCTAGTTTTTCAAAAACTTTAGTACATGAAGTATCGTGGGATGAGGTTTTTCCCATATGTCTTGTACATGAAAGTCGTGACTCTTTTGCTTTGCTAATTCATGAATAAGAGACTACTCATTAATTTTGATGAAGTAAAAAGGGTAACCCGATACATAAAGCATCATGCGTTTATATCCCCTAAAATTATCTTTAGAACAAATTCCAAGTCCTAAAAATTGCATGTCTAATAACACCATCTTTGTCATAATTGAGGGGAAGATAAAGGTAAAAAAGCAAAACCTTACATAGGGTGAGAATTTAGTAGTATGTGGAGAGGGAATCAATTAACCTAGAGACCTTGATCAACGAGATAATCTCCTAACCTCTCAACAACTAAATTGCATTGTCCAGGAGTAACTGGCTCCTCATATATACCAAACAATAGAGATTGGTTTGTCTTCTTGATTGTTATTCCTCCTGAACCCTGCCAAAAAGTGTGAAAAAATGTCAGTCTAATTTGGGGCGGAGGCAGAAGTCCAGATACATATTCGGCCGAGCCAGTAACTTTTGATCAAACAATATATTTCTGTTAAGAGATTCGTTAAATATATACACATATTAAATTTAGAACCAAATTATTAGCACTTGATAAAATCAGTTGTTCTAGAATCCAGGACTAATAAAGTTGTAATCCAGAACAAAGTTTCCTCTATATACGTAGTTTAGGTCAGACTAGACGCATGTTGCGAGTTTAATTTGTTTGCATGAAAAAAACTGACACATATATAAAGAGAATTAAGAACTCACTGACTCTAAATCCTAGATTTGCCGCTGCTTTAAGTGCAATACTTTCATATGTCATGGCTGGCTTTTAGGCAAGCAAGAAGTTGTGATTGAGGAAGCCTCGTCCCATGGAGTCATTACTCTATTAGTCTGATCCTAGTTCAAGATACTAGATAGAAAGACAGGTTATCGGTGGCATAATATCCTTCTCTGCTTGTCTAACTCAAGCCAGATAACAACAATCTTTTGAAATAGTCATATGTAAAAGAAATGCAAGTCCAGATAAAAAGACAAAGAAGGCAAGTTAAAACAACATCAATAAAAGCGTTATACGTGCATTATTATGTATTGGAGATTGTAACTTTCCATAAATTTCCTTTGCAAATATGATAAGGCTGGTCAAAGGTGGCATAAGATTCTTCTCTTCTCTGCTTGTCTAACTCATTCGAAATAGTCATATACAAAAGAGATGCAAGTCCAAATAGAAAGATAAACAAGGCAAGTTAAAACCAACATCGATGACTGATGATAGGCTATAATTGCATATTCTAGTCGCTTATTACACTCTAATTTACTGCACTTTAGTTGAGTTTGCACTTTAATCGCTAGTGTTTTGCACTAACGGTGTGTTTTATGCCTTGTAGGAGTGATTTCGAGATATATAGATGTTATGGAATGAATTCAAGTGAATTGGAGCTTTGAAGTCTGAGTAAAAGCCCAAGGAATTAAGCCGGGATCGTATTCGGGGGTCAAATTTGATAATTAAGTACGAACGAAGACTCGAGGAGGCATGTTGCGCACTGTCTAGTAAAATAGACATAACTTTTTGCTCAGAACTCCATTTGGACTCCACAATATATGGTTGAAAAGCTAACTCAAAGGGCTACAACTTTCATTTTTTATGTTTCTCCAAATTCCAAACGGAACAGGGCGTAAGCGCGGTAGGACCGCGGCAGAACACTGCTGCAGATTCTGAAGGCTACTCTGGCCGCGGTCCTGGCGTAACCGCGGTAGGACCGCGGCAGGACGCGTAAAATTCAGGGACCAAAGTGAAAAATACGGGATTTTAAGCCCTAAACCCTATATTAAACGAAGGAAGCCGGCCAAGAAAAGAGGAGAAGGATTTTTGGAAGTGAAAAACATCATAAGGAAGGGCAAGAGGCAAGGAGGATCATTGGGCATCAATCTTTAATCTTCTTCTTTGTTCTTTTACCTTTGAATATGAATTCTTTTGTGATTTTTGTTACTTTTATGAGTAGCTAAATACTTTAGTCTAAGGTTTTGATGGAACCTATTGAAGGATGAACTTCTTGATTATGTTAATATAGTTTGCCAGTTAATCTCTATTTGTTCAACTACGTGTTTGTTGTAGTTAATTGACAGGATCCTCAATTAGCTGTGCCTATTTAGTGTGCATAACTCGGAAAAGAGTGCATATTTAGGTAATTGTTGGACAACACCACTCCCAAAGTATAAGAGGGATCTATAACTGCGGGTTTAAAGGCGGGATTAGGGATAACACAGCCTTGGGTGCAATCTAAAGTGAGCTGTAATAAACAAAGTCAGCTAGCGTATCACGGGAGAGTGCGTCTAGTAAATTATCGCGTATACTCGATAGAGATTTACGGTAAAAAGAGTGTTCATGATTGATAGAGATGGTTTGGTGAATCTATATGAAACATAACCGGAAGGGATTCCATCAATAGAGGAAATCACTACCTTAGAACCTTCTCATTATTGTTTACAACCCAAGCATATTTAGTTTACAGCTGTTTATTTACTTTCAGTCTTAGTTATTAGAAATACCATCAACTATTGTTTACAATGTTTGGAGAAGTTGATTATAAAGAATTTAGTAAGTCCAACAAAAGTAATTGATAGGTTAATTCTCTGTGGATTCGACTCTGGGCATAAATACTCAGGTTATATTTGCAACGTCCGCGTGTCCTTTTATAAGGCATAGTTGGGCGAGATCAAATTTTGGCACCGTTGCCGGGGAATTAACGGTGTTATCAATTACAATTGAAAGAAGTACAAAAATTCTTAGTGTAGTCAGTTTTCTCTATACCCAACTTGTGAATATTTGTGTAATTAATTTTTCTTACCTTGGTCTATTTTTATTGTTATTCGTGTTTATTTTCTTAGTTTTGAAAAATGGCTTCATATAATGAAAATTGGTCGGATGGTCGTTGTTCATACTTTGATGACCCTTGTCATTATTGTGGAGGACCACACTTGTGGCAAAATTGTTTAAATTCTCCCAGGGGTGGATTGTGCGCACAATCTCAAACCCATGAGTGGAGTATTTGTGATAAGTGTGGTTTTCAAAATGGTCATTGGGATGATTGTGCTTATTTGTCCTTCCCTTCCCCAAGCCCCCACTATGATGATTTTACTTTTTGTGATGAAAATTATAGGGCCATGGGAGTTGAAGAAGTTGAGCATGGCCGAAATGGAGAGTTCAAGCTCATGTTGGAGTGTTTACTTGAAGGAGGAAACAAAGAACAAAGTGTCTTGGAGGAGCTTTTGGAAAATAGTCTCCGAAATGACTTGGCACTTGAAAGGTGTTACTCACAAATGGGAGAAATGCTTGAAGCTTTAGAGGTCCAAAAAGCCTCGGAAGTTAATGAGAGCCAAGAACTTTCCTTAGATGTGGAAGCCGAAAATCTTTCCTTGGCACTTGATCAAAACCAAGAAGAGTCCGATTTCGAGGAAGAAAGTGAGCGCACTTTGAGGATTCAAGAATTGAACATCCGCCAACCGATTCCATGAGTGTTAATGATGCCGAGAAAAAAATAGGATTAGAGTCAACCGGTGTAAATGAAAAGTCGGTTGAGATTGACTCTAACCCGGGGGAAAAAGAGGATGTCAAAATCCGAGAAAAATTGCAAAATGAAGGTTTGAAGTCGCATTCCAAGCATTTTTCAACATTGGACTTGTGTGGTGATATGAGAATTGATCTACACGACTCAACGAGGGATTGCAAGGAGGAAAGGCAACAACCATTCATCTTACAATTTGAGGGAACAAAGAGGCAAAATGATATTCCTCACATGAAAGCCAAGAAGTGCAAAATGAAGTACTTAAAGCTTGGCTCGATCATCAACTTACCACCCCCGATCGCTCGAGGTCACAAGCTTGATTCCAAGCTAGGTGCCCAGTTCATATCATCCAAATGGCGAGAAAAGTGTGTCAATTTTTTTTCTTCTTCTAGGAGCATGGAAAGCAAAGGTATTGGAAGAATGCAACAGCAAACCAAATGGTTGGAACTAAGTGTGAGGTACCCGCACGAAGGACCAAGCTTGGGAGAAGCCTGAGTACCCCATGAGCTGCTAGTGCTTCGGCCTTTGGCATACCAGGGAGTTTCTTTTACCCTCTTATTAGTATGGTGTGCATTGGGAACAATGTACAATTTTAAGTGTGGGGTGAGGAGATTATCTGGGTGACTTTCTATGATATTTTAATTGTGTTAGTTTAATTGAATAATTAAAAAAAAATGAAATATGTAGACTCTTCCTGATGACGGATCCTTTAGACAATTTTCTTGAGGGAAGTAAGTCTAAAGAAAATACCAAAAAGATTCTTTATTTTGTTTTAGGTAGTGTAGTAACTCCCCTTTGATTTTTCTTTAGGCCACGGTTCTTTTCCAAGGGTTTTATTTGAACCGGGTGTAGTTAGTTTTTTTTAGGAATAGGAGCCATTGTGTTGTGCTTTGAATTGAAGCAATATCTCTTGACTTGGTTATGCCTTGAGAATAGTGAGTACTTTGGTTGTGACGCTTATGCTCAGTTTTTGGCTCTTGTAGAAGTACCTTAAATTGTATTATCTTAACTGCTTTGACTAGAGTGTCTATGAATCTAATCCTGAGTGAGTTATGTGCCATGTGTGTGTAAGGTTTTGCATTGTTCAGTGCATTGCATTTGATGCCTAGAACTTGCCCTGTGTGTTTGCAAAGCGAAATAGTAGTGTTGTTCAGTCTTGGAAGTGATATAGGCATTTTCTTGTTGAGCCAGATATGTATATTTTACCCACCTAATTGTTATGTATCGTAGTTAACCTCTTTGAGCCTATAATCCTTTTTCTTTGGCAACCACATTATAAGCCTTACCCATTTGTTTGAATTAACCATCTATTTGAACTTTTTCACCTCTCATGAGCACTTGAATTGTTATGAACCTTGTAAAAGTTAAAGTGTGGGGTGGTCGGTTTGGCTTTCGAGTGGAACTAATTGAATAAGGAGAAAGGTGCACTGTTTTGAAAAAGGAAGAGCCACTTGAATTGAAAAAGAAAATATATAGTTGGATTGTTGTGAAAAAAAAAATTCTTGATAAGTGGTGGCTCTTGACGTAAGTGTGCTTAAAGAATAATGGGGTAATTTATATTGATGTGAAGGTGGAATTTTGGTTTGACATAAGTATGGGTTTAAATGTTAAAATGTATGTATTAAAGTGCTTAAGGAGGTGTAGTCACTCTTATATCTAAATGTATCCTACCCGTCCCGTAGCCTACATTACAACCAAATAAAGTCCTAACTGATCCAAGATTGAATGAGCTCGATTAGTGGAGTAGTACACTACGGGCAAGCTTATGGTGCATCTTTTGTGGCATATGAATGTTATCTCTGAGAGTGAGTGAATTCTTTCTATCTTGAGTTCCTAAGTGTTCTTAAATTTTATTGTGTGGAACTACTCTCTTGTATTGTGTGTGGGCACTTGATTCATGAAGGAAAGGTAATGTCAGTGACCTCTATGTTAGAGTAAGTAGGTGAGTTGTGAATAATGCGTGGCACTTGTGAGTCAAATCTTGAGGTGAAGATGTTACGCTTTTGTGCTTAGTCTATTTTAAATACTCTTGGTGTGCTGCGTAGGAGAATTGTTTAAAAAGGTCGAGCCTATAAAAAAAAAGGGTAGTTTGATTGCTCGAGGACGAGAAATGGTTTAAGTGTGGGGTGTTGATGATAGGCTATAATTGCATATTTTAGTCGCTTATTACACTCTAATTTACAGCACTTTAGTTGAGTTTGCGCTTTAATCGCTAGTGTTTTGCACTAACGGTGTGTTTTATGCCTTATAGGAGTGATTTCGAGATATATAGATGTTATGGAATGAATTCAAGTGAATTGGAGCTTTAAAGTCTGAGTAAAAGCCCAAGGAATTAAGTCGGGATCGTATTCGGGGGTCAAATTTGATAATTAAGTACAAACGAAGACTCGAGGAGGCATGTTGCTCACTGTCTAGTAAAATAGACATAACTCTTTATTCAGAACTCCATTTGGACTCCACAATATATGGTTTGAAAGCTAACTCAAAAGGCTACAACTTTCATGTTTTACGTTTTTCCAAATTTTAAACGGAACAGGGCGTAACCGCGGTAGGACCGCGGCAGAACACTGCTGCAGATTCTGAAGGCCACTCTGGCAGCGGTACTGGTGTAACCGCGGTAGGACCGCGGCATGACACGTAAAATTCAGGGACCAAAGTACAAAATATAGGATTTTAAGCCCTAAACCCTATATTAAACGAAGGAAGCCGGCCAAGAAAAGAGGAGAAGGATTTTTGGAAGTGAAAAACATCATAAGGAAGGGCAAGAGGCAAGGAGGATCATTGGGCATCAATCTTTAATCTTCTTTGTTCTTTTACCTTTGAATATGAATTCTTTTGTGATTTTTGTTATTTTTATGAGTAGCTAAATACTTTAGTCTAAGGTTTTGATGGAACCTATTGAAGGATGAACTTCTTGATTATGTTAATATAGTTTGCCAGTTAATCTCTATTTGTTCAACTACGTATTTGTTGTAGTTAATTGACAGGATCCTCAATTAGCTGTGCCTATTTAGTATGCATAACTCGGAAGAGAGTGCATATTTAGGTAATTGTTGGACAACACCACTCTCAAAGTATAAGAGGGATCTATAACTGCGGGTTTAAAGGCGAGATTAGGGATAACGAAGCCTTGGGTGCAATCTAAAGTGAGCTGTAATAAACAAAGTCAGCTAGCGTATCTCGGGAGAGTGCGTCTAGTAAATTATCGCGATTACTCGGGAGAGATTTACGGTAAAAAGAGTGCTCATGATTGATAGAGATGGTTTGGTGAATCTATATGAAACATAACCGGAAGGGATTCCATCAATAGGGGAAATCACTACCTTAGAACCTTCTCATTATTATTTACAACCCAAGCATATTTAGTTTACAGTTGTTTATTTACTTTCAGTCTTAGTTATTAGAAATACCATCAACTATTGTTTACAACGTTTGGAGAAGTTGATTATAAAGAATTTAGTAAGTCCTACAAAAGTAATTGATAGGTTAATTCTCTGTGGATTCGACTCTGGGCATAAATACTCAGGTTATATTTGCAACGTCCGCGTGTCCTTTTATAAGGCATAGTTGTGCGAGATCAGCAACTTAATAAGATTTAATTAGGTAAAAAATAATATACAGTAGACTTCTCTATAACAACATCTCACTATAAAAGCCAAGCTTTTTCGGAACCAATTTTTATGTTATGTTATAATATATGTTCTCTAAACAACACTTCGTTATAACAACCAAAAATATTCGTTAAAATAGCACGGGCTAGCCAGCTTTCGGACTGGTCATTCAAAAATAGCCAGTGTTTGCCATGTCACTAAAAAATAGCCACTATTTTGCTGCAACAGAGACCGGTCCAACATAATATATTGGAGTTCGGTGAACTTGTGTATGAACTTCCAGTATATTATGCTGAACCGGTATAATTTGCTGGCTCCAGTATAATATACTGGAGTTCCAGCAAAGTATACTGGAACTCCAAACTCCAGTATAATATATTTAGGAGTTCCAGTATATTATGCTGGAATTCCAGTATATTATGCTGGAGTATATTCTGGATTTTGAACAGTGGTTTCGTTTAGATTTATCTTTACATGAAAAGTGGCTAAATTTCAATGACTTTTGAAACTGTAGCTATTATTGAATGACCACTTGTAAATCTGGCTATTTTTGAATTTCTCCCAAAATATTCGGAACAAACGAAACTGTTATTGAGAGTTTCACCGTACAATACCTTCTTTCCACGAATAACAGCCCCAGGCTCTCCTTGGATAACCATGTATTTTGTTCCTCCAAGGAATAATCCTGTTGGGGCTAGATGTCCTGGCTCATCAAAATCAGTCAGTATGGCTTTCATCTCCTCTGCTTTAAACTGCAAAATTCAGATTAAAAAAAATTGATTAAATATTAACCACACTTTAGGCATGTTAACCCTTCATTAAAAAAAATTAACATCTTAACGACCAAAAAGAAATAACTCATTGCCATCGCGAAAATTACAACGCCTCGTGACAATTGAAGGTTATTTTGATATCAACCTAAAATAAATAAATAGTAAAATTGTCTCTCCTCTCAATTTAAGCTATAATTAAATGTGGTGATGACAATTCCACTTTAAATTAAAAACCAAAGAAGAAAACAGTCCATGCTAACAATCAATTGAATTTTTTCTAGGTGTGGATTCGATTCTCACCGTCTCCCTTTCCTTCCCCTTCCCGATCCCATGTAATAGAAATTCTTTTAATAGATTTTTTAGAAAGATTCAGATTTATATATAGACATATATGTATAACAATAACCAAAATAAATGATCAAAGAGCGTGATAAACGAGATTTCTTCTCTTTTAATAGGAAAACTAAAATGTACCTTAGGGAAGTTGGAGCTTTGTGCCCAGACGGAGCCGTCGTGGCCGACGATTGCGGCGGCCGTAAGGTGGCCGCCGCCTTCGACTTCACACATCAAATGTTCATCCACGTACGTTTGCCACGACATTTTTCGAATTAGTTTTTGTATTTGGAATGGAAATTGGAGCTATCTTTTTTTCCTTAAGTTGTTATTTTTTGAAAGAGAAGTTTGTGGTTAATTTGGACATATGCATGATCGTCGTTTAATTAGTGGCATTCATGATTCATGTCGGCCTTCATTTCAGGAAATGGACTATATTTTTCTTGGACTTGCCATTTATATTTTATTGGCCATTTTGCATGGCCACCCGGCCCCAACCATTTTTCACAAAAATTCACCAGTCAGCGTTTATACTAAATTAATAAATGTAAAGTACGTGACTTTTATACTCATATTTATCACTTACTATAATCAGGTTAAAATAATTGTTTGATATAATAATAAAATATTTGTTTAATAAATGAGTTTTTTACGGTCAGTAAAACCTAAAAAAAAAAAATCAAACACATTTGAATTCAATATTAGGCTTTTTAAAGCTTTATCTATTAATATTATTTATTTAAAAGTACTAATTTGAAGTATCGGTGATAAATGATGAAACATGTTTTTGAGTATGTTTGCATATTATTTCTTATGTGAGTTGCAAGAGATTACATGTTTATAAACATAGAATATGCTCATTACATGTTTATCGTGTGTAGGAAATAATTTGGATGGAAGTTGGCAAGAATTGGATGATTTAATGCAAAAGGAGTAGAGATGTAAGACCTGGCGTGCCACAATTGGTGCATTGCATGAAAGTAGGCACGGAATGGCCTAGGGAATGAACAAAAAAACAGTGTAGTATGGAGGTTGGCGCTGGACCTGGCACACGAAAGAACAAAGAAGAAAAAAGAAATAACTGGGAGCGTGCTAGAAGTCGCGCGTTGCATCAACTCAATCAAGCGACTTCAACGTGTCCTTTTCGAATTAGGAGAGATCAAAGACGCCCCAAATCAACCCTAATTGATATAAATATATCATAAAATATCCTTTTGAAGGGGGAGACACCACTGTAGGGTAAGACAACACCTAAGGAGGCAAGAATGCACTAGGAGCAAGGAGGAAGATTCAACCACGAGTTTTTTCCTTCTTCTTCCTACTTTTCATTGTTGGTTATGGCTTTTAGTATTGTAGTTTTACATACTATTATGAGTAGCTAATTTACTATCTAGATTTTTGATGGAACCTCTTGGAGGATGAATTCCTGTTATGTTTTAATATAATTTAACCTTTGGATTTATCTACTTGTTCAACTATATGCTTATTTCAGTTGATTGAATGGCCGTCGATTGACCGTGCCTATTTATTATGTATTTCTTGAGAAAGAATACATATTTAGGTGGTTGTTGAACAATGTCACTCCTAAGGTATATGAGAGATCAATACGGCGAGTTTAAAAGCGGGATTAGAGATAATGAAGCTTTGACGTGATCCTAGTGAGCGGTGAAGAAGTGCGAGCTAGTGTAATTCTAGAGAATATGACTAGTACATTATTATAGTTGCTCGAGAGATAATTACGATAAGTCGAGTGCTCATGATCAATAGAGAATAATTAGGTAACATTATAGAAGACGTAGCTGGAAGGATTCCGACAATTGGAGAAACCATAACTCTAGACCTCCTTAATTTAGTCTCCAACCGATAGTATCTTTAATTGTTAATTTACTACTTTAGTTTGTTAGTTAATTAGTTAGACATAAGAATCTTAATATTTATAACTTAAAAATTATTTGAGCTTGTCTTCTTAGTGATAATAAACAGTTGTAGCTAAGCGTTAGTTCTCTGTGGGATTCGACTCTGGACTTTTAGACCAGATTAATTATATTTGCAGCGATCGCTTATCCTTTTTAGGACTAGAGTTGGGCGTGATAAAATTTTTGGCGTCGTTGCTGGGGAACTAACGGTATAACTGTAGCTGTATATATTGCTTGGTGTCAAGTTTGAACTTTTATTTTGTTTTATTTTATTTTATTTTTTTATTTTGATTTAAGAAACATGACATTTTGGAATTATGGGAGTTTAGGTGTTGGTAATTCTACTTTTGATCCTTATACATATTGTGCATGAACCCACACATGGAAAAATAATCAAAATATTTGCGAGAGTGGGTTAGGTGCACCGACTCAATCTTATGTGTGGAATGTGTGTGATATGTGTGGTGGTCTATATGGTCACTTTCATGGTTGTGCTTATATTTGTTATCCTCCCCAACCCCTTACTATGATGGTTCTACTTTTTCTTGTGAAGTTAATAGGAACAAATAACCCAGGGATGATGACCTGAAAGAGATCAAAGATATGCTAAGGTGAACAAAATAATGACACACAATTACGGATACAAAGGTAAGAGGAAACTATTCACAACTTGAAGGCTCAAATGAGTCAAACTATTCACAACCCGAAAGGTCATCTTATGTTTTAGAACCCAATTCTGCGCTTTTAAGCTTTAAACACCTCATTTTATCTCTCCCGAATTTACGTGTGCAGTTCAGGCGTGTTTCTGGAAAGCATTTATGTTAAAAACCGATAAAGATAAGAATTTTGCCTAAAAATTTCATTTGAGTTGACTTCGATCAACATTTTGAGTAAACGGACCCGAATTCGTATTTTGACAGTCCTGGTGGGTCCGTATCGTGATTTGGGACTTGTGCGTATGCCCAGAATCGAATTCAGAAGTCCCTAACCCGAGATATCGGACTTTGTCAAAATTTGAAATTTAAAGGCTTAATGAGTTTGAAATGTTTGACCAATGTTTGACTTTTTTGATATCGGGTCCATATTTTGGTTCCGAAACTTGGTATAGGTCCAATACCACATTTATGATTTGTCTGTGAAATTTGGTGAGAAACGGACTTGGTTTGGCGTGATTCGGATGTCCGCTTGTGAAAATAGAAGTTTCAAAGTTTTCTTGAAAATTTCAATTGATTTTGTGCTTAATTTGTAGTTCTAGGTGTTATTTTGGCGATTTTGATCGCGCGAGAAAGTTCGTATGATGTTTTTAGACTTGTGTGCACCTTTGGTTCAGAGCCCCGAGGGCTCGGGTGACTTTCAGATAGGCTATAGAGTGAAATTTGGACTTAGAACTCAGCTGGTGTTTCAGATTTTGTTAGCCTCAGACCTCGCATTTGCGAGGTTGATGTTCTAGACGTCAATACCACACAAGAGAGGGGGGGGGGGGTGATCTGTGTGGTACCTAATTTTCGCACTAGAAGAACCTGGTTCTTCTAGATGTACTTATTAAGACTGTTTGCGGAATTAAGAGTGCATAAAATAAAGAACACAGAGATTTTTACGTGAAAAATACCTGGCTCAAAAGGTGAAAAAACCACGACCTACTATTCAGTAGGATTTTTTCAAACTTCCACTAAAATCACTAAGCCAAAACAACATTTACAAAACTCTTGTAAACCTAAGGATTAAACTCTAATCCCAGTGTGGCACACAGCCTCAACTGCTGCGACACTTTCAAGTTAACTCTAACTTGAATACTCAAAGTACCTAATACAATTGCTTCTATGAAAGCTGAAAGGTACAATTTTAAAACACCTACTACAATTGAACTAGAATAAAAGAAAGACACAATGGAATTGGTTCTTCTATCTTGTCCAAGTAGCTTCAGGTTTGCACACTTGAATCTCACGTATATTGCTTGCAAAAAGCCTTGCTATTTTGCTCTTCAATTTAGTTTCACTTCTGCGTTTGTGTGTTACCCTGTAAAAGAGAACAATCATTATTATTTATAGAGTTAGTAATCAGAGTTTGATTAAAACTCGAATTGCTGATCCTTCATCAAATTCGAGTTCTAGAACAATTCAAACTCCAATCCTTATTCTTTATCCGGTTATAGTTCTCTTCACATAAGGAGACTTCAACTCCTTATCCTATGCAACCTTTTCGATCAAATCAGAAGATATTGTTGCTGACCCTTGAGACTTATCTTCACCCGTATGTCACGTGTATAAGTATATCAACACTGTGTCTGTCTCACATGATGGACCTGGTTCATGACTAAGTTCATTTTGTCAATCTTCAAAATTTCATCTGAACTATGGCCAACAAATTCCCCCTTTTTGATGATGACAAACTCTGTGCGTTTATTGATCAGAGACCCTGTGGAACTTAGCTTAATTGTCACACTTAAATTTAACTTATCATTAAGGACCAGGTTCAATCAGGTTATAAATATCACTTTATTATCAGAATATAAAGTAAGCACAATATCTCTTCCCCCTTTTGGCATCATCGAAAAGTTGCATATTATATGAATCCCAGATGTTAATTATTACTCATGGCCACTGGGGCAACTGCAAGTGAAAACATGATTCAGTTAATCAATAATCAACTCCACAAGAAATATAGCTATTAAGATCAGAAGTTTCATAGAACAAGAGAAAACAAAGCACATTGTCATTGATTAGGAAGTGTTTCTACAAAACAGACCACAAAAAGAAAAACAAACATCCAACCATGAGCAAAAAAAAGGCCAAATACATAGACAGACCCTTAAACTGTCACTAAGTTTCACTTAGACACCTTAACTGAGATTGGTTCTTATTTAACACTTGAACTCCCTCCAAAATGTGTTATTGAGCACATTTTGCTGACATGTAAATGTCCGTGTATGTCATGTCTTATCAGCGCGTAAAAAGCCAACATTGAATATTTTCCACCGGAATATTCATTGTTTTTACCAGAATCTGGCGACGACTTCTTTTGTAGCTTATTTTCAACCTATTTTCTTCTATTTGCCAAGCCATCTTCACCACCACCTCCTCTCATTCCTAGATCTGGCCAACGACCACCATAACCATCAGCTTCTCTTTCTCAGTTTTAGCTGTTGCACCACCACACCACCTCGCCTCCTCCAACCTAAAGACCCAACTTAACTCATCAACCCGACGTGGAGAAAAACAGAAAAGCTCCTTTCTTCTACCAATTATCAGCAATTTAAGATTACACGTAATCAGGATTTTGGATTGGCCAAAGAAGAATGACAATCCTCACATAGTAATTTTCCCCTTGCCTCTTCAGGTCCTGTGACTGTACCAAGAAATTCATGTCACTTTCCTCAACATTGAAGACATCTAACGCTTGTTGAGTTACAAGGATGTTTAAA